GATCCCTTTCTTTAAATACTGTGTTGACTCACATATTTTTGGCATGTTGTTGCATCTTTGAGCTCTCTTTCAGTCCTGACCACATCTTCAAGGGTTCTGAAAGGCAGATTTAGGTTTGTTTCATCGTCTTTAGAAGGAATGCTGGTACTGCTGGGGGCTTCAGAAACGGTATTGTCTTTAAGTATAGTTTCTTTAACATAGCAGAGTTTTTCTGAACTGTGATCTTGATGTCTCTCAGAATTTGGAGGAGCTCATTCTTGTCTGTTGTGTAAAATGAGTTGTGCTGTAATTACAAAAAAAGAAAAAACTTCTCAAACTGATTATGACCAAAGAAGTAACTCGCCATCAGTTGACAATCTGGATGTAGATGCAGTTGCTGCAGGAGGATGTTGATGTTTTAACATTTTCTTGAGTGCTTTCAAGTCTTTGTCTTTTGAGTATTCTGGAGAATCCAGTGGCTAGTAGAAATGACCTTTATATGAAAATAAACAATACTTTCACAAAACAGCACAAATTAATTCTGACCTTTTGATAGATAAAATCGCTTGAATATGTATACGTTACTTACTGTTCTTTCTGTTCTTTAAATTCTTGTTGCCCCTCTTTTGCCTTATCGAAAGTGACTATAATAAGATAAATATTTTTTTATTATTTGAGAATTTAATCAACAGTAATAAATCTCAAATTTAAACAGTTATTACCATACCATATTCTCTGTGAAAGCTAATATTTAATTTCTCCCATTGTTTCCCTCCTGTTTCAGCTTTAATTCTGTTCTGAACAGCTTCCATGCACTTCTCTGTTGATTTGAATGGGGGCCAGTGACATTGTCTCTTGTCTGAGCTCAACCAATGTGATGGTGCCACCATCACCTCATCTGAGTCCAGCAGAGTAACTACTGCATACATGGTCAGTCTAGGTATTTAACTTTTCCTCTCCATTGGCAAATGATGATTCTGAAAGAAAACGTGCCCAATGTCTGTTTGCTATAGCAACAAACGCTACTTTCATGCATCTGATTATCAGATAAATAGGTATTTAACTTTTCCTCTCCATTGGCAAATGATGATTCTGAAAGAAAACGTGCCCAATGTCTGTTTGCTATAGCAACAAACGCTACTTTCATGCATCTGATTATCAGATAAACCTCACGCTCTTATTTCAAGGTTGTTGTTAATGCTGTGGTTATTTCTGCTCCCTACATGCAATAAATATGCATCTTTCGACTGCTAAGGTAATGTCGTCGGTAAGATGCCGAGAGCCATTGAAAAACTACAGAAAAGTAAAACTACTTCACTTTAGCATTACTGGCCACGAGTACTAAGGAGAGATCAGATCACACATCAGCTGCTCAAAAAATGTGTCAGTAAGACGAACGGAGCGCGAGCACAATCCTGTGACTGCAGGATTTACAATTCAAAAATCATGTTTCAAGATGCATCAATAAAACGAGTGAATCATTACACCCCTAGTGTCTCCTGTAAGAAAGCAATGTCTGCATTTTGTAGTTCTTGAAATTTCTGGTCTCTGTTTTGTTTAAGTCCATTAACATTCCAGGTGATGAAGTTTATGGTCAGTGTAGCCATTGACAGATCTGCTCTCACAGACCAAAGATCCTCAACTTACTAAGTTCTGTCAAAACAAAGAATGATGGAGGGTGGGAACTTTTTGTTTTGCATTCATTCAATTGCGAGTCAATTACTGAGACGTTCATGATATCCTGACAGTAATAAAAGCATTTTACAATTGACAGACATTTTTATCCAAAAATGTATAAATTGCATTGGTTTACACTTAGTTTACATTTTATCAGTTTGTGCCTTCATTTAGTGTAGTGTGTTTCCAATAGCGAAAGAAAAAAAATTCAAGATAGTGTTGAACTGATTCCTATCCAAAATAGGAAAAACATTTAGACATTGTTTACAGACAGAAAGATATCAAATTTGCCGTCAGTTGTTGTATTATAAGACAGTCATGCAGCAGTATTAGGCTAACTAGTTTTCTGTAATTTAACGCAAAGTAATATAACACAAAGTATACTGTCTTACAAATGTACATTTGTCATGTCTGGTTTTGGGTTTTGTTCCTTGTTTTCTTGTTTTTTGTTTTGTTCATAGTCATGGTTCCTGTCATGTCATGTGTTTCCCTTGCCCTCATGTGATCCTGCTATTGGTTGTCTAGTTTGTGTCTTGTTCTCATTGGTTCCTTTGTTGTATGTGTCAGGCTTTCATTGGTTGGTTTATGTCATGTGACCCCTATTGTCTGATATAAGTAGCCCTCATGTTGCCTTTGTTCCTTGGTCTAGCTTGGTTCGTGTAACCGCTGTAGGTGAGTTTGTTCCAGTCAACTGTTACAGCATTATATAAAAAAGACAATAGGAAAAACGTTATGATGTTGTTAAACTTTGGAAACATGTCATCATGAAATTGATCTATTGCATGTGTCCTATGTTTTTAATTAGTCAAGATGTGCTGTGCTACATTATGTTGAAGATTCTCATTTATTTTGCACCCAATGGCATCTGGGAAAAGTGTTGCCGGCAATAGATGTGTTTGCTTTTAATAAACAAAGTTGTTGCTCAAGCAGAAACATTTTCTGATACTTTTCATTTTTGTAGGCTGGTACCAGCATGACCTCTTTACTGCATGAGTCCACGAAAGGGTTCCTGAAGTCAGCTCAGCTGGTTTCCATTGGATCACTTTGACATGGAGCCCAGTATGTAATTGTGGTGAAGAATAATTATTTTGCCCTTAGTCTCAGCCTGTCAACTATCATTGAGATTTTGCCTGTCTGTCTTTTGACCAGGTTTTTGATTGAATTAATTGTTTTAAGGTCAGCAGAATGCATTAGATCAAATGCATGAACTGTATGTGAGTGATGTTTATTTATGTTTTGAGCGTATTTTTCAGTTTGTAAGAACATGTTGGAGTACATGAGAACAATTTGAGAACTTGTTGGTAATTTACATGCTGTGAACTTGCAGACAACATCTATTTGACAGTGATTAATGGATTAATTGCATTTATCCAAGCACTTTAACATGTTAATTTTGACAGCACTAATTTTAACGCTTGTGCGTCAATGTAATAAAATAAAAATAAAAGGCAGAATTCTAAGGTCCTTAGGGGACAAAAAAAATCTCTGTCAGAAATATATATATATATATATATATATATATTTTCCCACTTTCACTGGCTTCATTTATTTGTTTGTTCATTCATTCGTTTGATGTCATAACAGAGGGCCATTTGATATCCTCCTGAGACCCAGCTATGGAGTTTTTGTCTCTGTAGTGGACATTATATTTTAGTGAACTTCTCTGAGACCTCACGTGTCACAGTTTTAAGTCTGGATGTCCTGTACAGAGCACATTCAGGGCTTTCCAGAGATACCAAATGATTGGATGTTTCACCATGACCACTCCCTCTCCTTGGTTTTTAAAAATGGCTGACATTAATTTAGTGATAAAATTGTACATCCTTATGGAAATATGATAATATTTTGTAATTATCATTTATATCTGATTCATTTTCAAATTGTTTGTCATAAATCAACATCTCAGGAAAATGTTATAGGGTTTCAAACCAAAATATGACTTCCTGTTATGAAGGAGTGAAAAATGTAAGGGGGTCTGAATACTTTCCGTACCCACTGTAGTTGAGAATCACCCTTATACAAAGTTTGGTATAAAGAAAATCCTGAAACCTAAAAATTGATTGTTTTGTTTTTTTATCCCATTGTTTTCGTCTTTTCATGTCTATTCATGTCATTTTGTTTTTTAGAAAAAGTGAGTATGGTGTCCTTCAATTTTCTTCTTATGCTCTAAACAATGTAATGACATGAAAAAATATTAAATTCACAAAGCTTTTTTTCTGGTTCTCAGGAGGATATAACTGCCATGAAACCTGCCCTAAAGCTTCTTGAGGCACCAGTTTTTGAATATGTAATGAGCGCGGGATTTTATGTTTATGGTCACTGCAGAGGATGGAAATGAAGAAAACTGAATAAAGACTCAAATTGGGGTCGGTTCTGTGCAATCTTATAGATTCTGAATATTTGGATTTTACTGAAGATTTGTGAATTTATTTTGTTCTATTTATGGTTCTATTGCCTGTCAGCATATAGGCCTAAAAAACACATTTTGTGTCCAATGGCAAACAATAAATATCACATGCTAAGTAATGTTTCGTTTTATCATTTCAATCTCACCACTAAAACTTGTCACTCACAATCGCAGCAATTGGCAAACTGTATGCAAACTGTATTCCACTCAATTCTCGCTTGAAAATCAAGCTCTGTCCTTTTTTTCTTGTTTGAGAAGTAATTTCACTCAGATATGTCAAAATAAGTAAGAAAATAATATATTTTCATTCTGACTTTAATACATAAAGCTTTTCTAACACTGTAATACATTTAGAAATTAGAAATATCTCGACAGCCTGTCTTGACTGTCACTACTGCATGACATGTTTCAGAAAGACCTTTGCAATTACATTCCAGTCTTTACAGTAAATGAATCACATTTTTGACGTCCATCTCTTGGTGTAAAACAGTTATAATAAAATCAACTAATTAGTATACCGTTTGTGTATCATGCAACCCTAAAATAAAACAAGTAAATAAGTTCAAAAATAAGTTCAGAAACTTAAGTACAGAAGAAAAAAAAAAATATATATATATAACACAAATATGTTTAAGTACAAAAAAATATTTGTTGTAAAACCAAAGAAAACATTGGCTGAAAATGTGTTACTTGTTACACAATTGTGTATGTTTCTTTTGTGATTTATGCTGTTTCTCTTGAGCTTCTTATTGCTTGATGACCATCAGTCAGATAGTAGCTCTAGAAGTCTCTCCAGCTCTTTGATCTCTCTGGAGACATCTAGAAATGAAATGTAACAAGATACTGTATATGCGGCAACAACCGAGATTAATTAGTCATACTTCACATTGCAAAAGATTGTTTGTTTAAACACTTGTTTCTGTACTTGTTACACAATTGTGTATGTTTCTTTTGTGATTTATGCTGTTTCTCTTGAGCTTCTTATTGCTTGATGGCCATCAGTCAGATAGTAGCTCTAGAAGTCTCTCCAGCTCTTTGATCTCTCTGGAGACATCTAGAAATGAAATGTAACAAGATACTGTATATGCGGCAACAACCGAGATTAATTAGTCATACTTCACATTGCAAAAGATTGTTTGTTTAAACACTTGTTTCTTTGGTGTAGTAGGATGACATTCTTACCCAGCTGTGTCTGTTTACTGGTTTGTGTTTCTGAGCGTTTTATTGCTTCCTGTAGTTTATTTTCAAGAACACTCTTTATGTCCAGCTTTACAAAGCATAAGAGAAGATTCCATTTGTCTTTAGCCACTGTACAACTGAATACATGATCATCTTAGGTCATATGATGCATTTTCATGGTTTCCTTTTTCTTTAATGTGTTATGTAGCGGTTTGTGCATGTATAAGATCTGCAAAGTAACAAAGCTCAAAGTCTCCCACAAAAGGATTTTTTTTTCTATCTAAAAGCGAGGGCTGACCGAAACTTGCTGAAAACACCCTGATCCAACTCTCCCTCACATATCTACATCACTATGTGGAAATATTTGCATAATGCCGCCAAAATGAATATGCAAAGTATGGCAGTATACACAAATGTATACGCAAGGTATGGCAGTAGTGTTGTTGCCACCATGTTGTGGAGACGCTGTGTGTTACTACACGAAAGCAAAAGCACTTTATTTGGCCTTCTGAAAGTGGATGCATTTAGGAATCAGTGGTTGAGATTTATTTACAACACTGTTCCAGAACAGTACAACCAGTTCGAGAATGTGCAATGCATTTTACGGAGGACAGTTTCCAGAACCTGAGTGAGTACAAGGCTGGCTGTGAATAAAGGTTGTTTCTAAAAAAAATTGGCAATGCCAACTTTGCTAGGACAATATGGAGTTTGGAGTCAGTGGGTATGTTTTAATATTTGCTATTGACTGTTCAAATGGGGAGTTTGGTGAACTGTAGAGTAAAGCATATTGTTTGTTGTTCTTACGATCACAAGTGCAGAAATTGATTTATGTTTACAAACATAGTATCCTCTGTTCTCCGCTTATAACTGGAGGCGAAATGACAAGAAACATAGATGCACTATGTGTTCTGTTTCACACTGGATGCCCTTTTACACCGGCAGCGTTACATGCAGGTTTAAGTTACCACTCTGATACATTCAGCTCAAGCCACGCTTGCAAAGTTGTTTCTGATCGATCGGCTTGGTCAAATGCATTTTCAGAATCTGCCTCAGGCTCAAACTGATATGGTAAAACTGATGACATTATTTACTTTTTTTTAATAAATTTTATCTTTATAATTGCTTTGGAAGCTGAAGCTCACGATTATGGTAAGGGACGTTACATTCCTGACACACGTTTGAGATGTTTGGCCAATCACAACGCACTGGCTCAGCTGGCCATTCAGAGCACACTGCGCTTTTCGGAAGGAGGGGCTTTGTATAAATCGATGTGTTTTAGGAAGACGGGGCATAGAGGATCTAAAATAATGAACAGTACTTGAAAAATAAGGTGTTTTTTGAACATTAAAGCAGGCTAACATATTCTATTACACCCAATACACAAAATAACAAGCTTTGAAAAAAGCATCATATGACCCCTTTAATGAATGTGAGATTAGTACCTTTAAGTTTTTAAACCTTTTTAGCACTTCCATTTTTGCTTTGTTGAACTTGTTTTATCTCATCGACTGTGGTTATTAACAGGTCTTGCCGTTTCTTCATGGATCCTGTTCCTGTCAAAGCTGCAGCTTCTAAAATAAACAACACTCTGTATTCATTCATTTTCTTTCATATAGACACACCAGTACAAGGAAATAAAACATTTCTTGGATATGCTTTTCATGAGTTAATTGTATTTTGTGACATGCTGGGTGACCATTTTATTAATGAAAGTTGTTTTCTTTTTAGCTACAATTTACATGAAAATAGTTTTGGATTAATTGTAACTCCTAATGTTAGCTTACGCTGATAGCAAGAACTCATTTCGTTCTCAATTGTTATTTGTATTGATGAGTAGATATCCTTCTTCATCTCAACAATGTCTCTGTTGAGTGTTGCCTTTAGTTTGGTTTCCTTTCAAAAGGGGAAAACACAAAAAAAAGTCAGAAAAGTCTTGAAACATTAAGCGCCTGCTTACTTCAGTCCTACATTAAACGTTTGTTTTGGTGTATTTCAGTGCTTACTGGTGTATAAAAGAAGCCTGCTTAATTATAAGGAATGAGGATTCATACAGACTTCAACAGAAGACAGACATAGAGGATCAGGGCCAGAGTATGACCCATTAGTGTCCCCAAGAAGACAACTGAACTCACCTCTGTTTTGATGAAGTCCTGAATGTGATGTAGTATTTCAGAGCTGGGGTAAGCAGAGTCACTCTGGATGATACTGAACTTATCAATCTGTTCCTGCATTGACTTTCCTGTTTTTTCAGTAGCACTAGAGCCAAAAAAAAACATTTAGAGTCCATTTATTTAAAAAACATTTTACAGAATATAATTGTAATTCTTGATATATAATCTGAGAATTACTGAAAGGAAATAGTGATGAGAAAGGCTAAATTCCCCCCCCAAAACAAAGTTTGCTTTATTTTTCTATAATAATTGTGATAATTCTATAACCTTATGTGGCTGTCATGAAAAATTAACTAAAGATTCAGACCAGAAGGGACTTGGGAGGCGAGCAAATCATTTCCTTTTCCTAGGCTTGTCTAAATGACCCAGAAGAAAGACCAGTACTCATCATAACTCACTAATATTTTGGGTCCTGCATGGGTGTCATGTGTGACCAACATAAAGATGTAATTCCCTTGTTATTCCCTTGACAAAACATTTGGCCTCAAATTAATCTAAACCCAATCTGAATATTCCTGGGCATCTGTCTCATTTGCTGGTTCACTGCAGTCTACAGTTGGTCCACATTTACAAGCTCTGCTCAAGTTTGTGCTCCAATTCAATGTTTATATTTTGTAAACAAAATTCCAATCATATAATTAACAACAATGTTAATTAAAAGTACTTAAGCATTAAAAAATTTAATTTTTTTAAACATAAAAAAAATTAATGTTCATCATGTTAATGCCCTAAAAATCAACAACAACCATTGTAAATAGTTTATTGCATTGTATTCTAAACTAAACAAAGGGGGCTAGAAATGGATTGATAAAACAGAACTTACGGAAAAATCTGACAGAAATATTCCTCAACGTATTTGTGCAAATGTTCGGCTAAAGACTTGTTTAGGTCTAGAATTACATTCCAATTTTTTGACCAATAGCATCCGTAGTTCCTGCACAAAGCACCAAGGATTTTATGGAACCCCCTTCCATCTTTTTTCTGAGTAAAAAAAAAGTGTTAAAAGAACAAGAAAATGGTGATTATGCAAAACATTTGAATCACACTCACAGGTGCTATACATTTTTTTGTGGAAGCTACACATGATTGCACTGATTCTTCCACTCCATTTGAGAGACGCTGCTCCAGATCTTTATAAATGCTGTCAAAATATTTGTCCAGTTCAATTAGTGCCTTCATTAGGTTCTTCTCAAATTCGTTGCGGATGTTGACTTTCATTTCAATCTAAAACACATCCATACAACAGCAGTGAATTAAAGAATAAAACACAATGGCAGCATTCTGAAGACACTCTAATCCTAGTAATTCTAATTCTGACTTTGTACCATTTTCTTGTCCGTATCCAGCTGGCCACTTTGGATCAAGGACAAAACTCCCTTTGCTTTATTGACATAATCTCTGGTCAGTTCTCGATTAATGCTCTCGTTAATATTCCTCAGATCATCCTGAAGATTTGGGATTTCTACAGATAGACACAATGTTATTTGGACTCATTTGGTCAGTGCTTTATCTCGCTTTATAAAATATTTATAAAACATGATTTTTTTTTTGTCATTAAGTTCTAAAATTAAAGAAATAGACAGAGGATAGCTTACCTGTTTCACTTGATTTCAGATTTAAATTGTCGTCAAAGAATGCTTTGGAACTTACAGTGAAAACTTGAAACTGATTGTCAGTTGAATATTTTCTAAAAGGAAAAAGTAAAGTAATAATAATAAAAAATATGAAGAAAACCACATATCAATAATTTTTAAAAAGTAACTGAAACAAAAAAAATATTAGAAGTATAGAATTAATACCTTTTTAATTCCAGACTTTTCAAACTTTTTTTTTACCCTTGTCTTGGCATGTTCATTTCTATGAAGTATGCATGCTTTTTCCTGATCCTAAAGAATGATTAAAAACAACAGACAAAGACACACATATGTAATAAGTAAAATATGACAAGTAAAACCAGCAAATTTACTCAGAATCAACAGTACAAACTTACAGGGGAAACACAGTTAAATTAAGTACTGGTTCATGAAAACAAAGAGGCCATACAACAGAAAAAGTGCTAGTACAGTCCTTCAACATTTTACAAACCTTGTCTTCTGAGATTTGGTCTCTTGGAAGCCGTGCAGATCTAAAATAATAATAATAATAAGTTGTGAAGTGTTGCATGTTTACTAGATTACTAGAATTACACTTCTCAGCCCTTCATTTCCTATACATAATATTCCAACGTGATCTCATGATAATTCGTATGTATTTTACGTAAAATGTGGTTCTATAAAACGTACATTTACTTACGTTTTTACAGGCACTAAAACGTACAATACTGACGTATTTTCAGCCTCTAAACGTACAAATACTTACATATTTTCAGCATTTTAACGCACAAAACTGACGTATTGACGACAAGAATCCTTATGAATATTGAAATCGCGGCATTCATTTTATTAGTTTTTAGTTGTCATATGAATTAACTTGTTTTCAATTGCATTATTAAATTGTTTACTTATGAAATGATAACATTTCGTTTTGTTGTGATTTCTGCTGCCAGCTCGTTTCCAAGAACATGCCTACATAATGTTAAGACTTCACTTTAAACCTTAAAATAAAAAATATTTCTGCAATCATTTAACCTTTACTTGTCATGTAATGTTTACTTTGTTTGCCATGGGCCACAAAAGGCGTTTTCTCCGACATGCTGTGACTGCCAATAGAACTATAAAATACACCAAAAACGCAACATACATGTAATTGCGAAATGAAACAATTTTATTAGTGCGCTGTAATCCAAATTTTCAGAATCCATACGACTGCGAGGAACAGACCCAAATCCAAGCCTTTATTCGGCGATCTGCTTTCTTCCCCATCCCGAGCAGCGAGTCCAGTGACCGTAAGCAGCAAAGCCCGCGCTGACTGATGCGCTCTTTACAAATTCAAATGTTGCCGCTTCAAACGATGCTCAGTGGCTCTCGCCTGCATTCGTCACAGATTGCGACATGCCGTGTTTCTGGTGAGGTGTGTTTGAATGATGCGCGCGCGCCTTCACGAGTTCACGGAGTGGATTGGGAAAATTATCTGGATAATATTTTCAGCGATTAACAACATAAATTCTGCTCTGGATCACACAAACCTACTGTATTCCGCCAGAGAGGACTGCGGGTGCAACGCATCGTCATTTGGATTACTTTTAGTACTGCTTTTGACATTTTTGCAATAAATAAATGATTGTAA